GCTTTGCTTTTCTCTATGGTGTAGCATGTTATTTTTAATATTCTTTTTATATTCATATTAATATATATATTAATATAATATAATATTCATATTAATATATGAAATAATTATTCTTAGAACTTTTAAAAATGTTACATATATCACTCTTTACATTCATTTTGTACATTAGAATTCCTTCCTCTGTCACAGATTATCTTTAACTGAAATAGAGCTTTTATTATTTTTATAATCACTACCACCCCATTTGCTTGCCTTTTTTTTTTCTCTCTCTCTCTCTTAGAATCTCAAATAAACATATTTTTTCTTTAAAAAAAAAAAATACAAGAGTAGAAATTTTGGCAGAACCAGAAATATTTTTAAGATGACAGCAGAAATAAGAGCCAAAACTTTCTAAAACTGAAAATAACTCAAATTAGAAACACAATGGAAGCGCTTGTAGCAGATTAGGTCTTATAAAAAAAAAAAAAAAAAAAAAAAAAAAAAAGTCAGAAGAAGATCTCCTGATTGACACATAAATAAGCAAAAGGTTCTGAAGAGAAGAGATGGAAAGAGTCTTGAGTTGAGAAAGCAGAAAGGAAACGTGTATGAGCGTATGCGACATGAAAGTGAGGGCGGTCCACGGAGAGAAATGCGTAAATGGTGAAGGGGAGGGAAAACAGAAATCGGGGAGCAAAGGGAAGGGTCAACTAACTAAGGAGGGATGGGAAAGCCATAAGGAAACCTGGTCCTTGGTAAGCTAATTTAAAAGTAAATTAAAGCAGGGTGTGCTGGCACAGGTCTTGTTAATCCTAGCACTCTGAAGGCAGAGGCAGTTAGCTAATTAATTGGAGTTTGAATAGAGATACCTTGCATTCCTAGATAAAGCTGATTGCTCTCCGATGTCATAAGTGAAAATTTCAGTGCTGGGTGGGCTACCTCCCGATGAGTTGCTGGTCAGGGAGCCCCCTGGGGTCTCTGAAACAGTACAATTTCACTGCTGCCAGGTACCCACCAAAGCTAGAAGGAAGACCCTATTGCCAAAGGTACCAACCACACGCACGGTCTCATCACAGGAAAAAAGATAGAAGCTTCCTCCTTTCAGGCTATCCTTCACAATGCTAGAACTTTCCGTGCGGCCTGCCTGCCGGTAGTGGGTGGGGTGGGTGAAGCATCGGGGACAGCTTTACACAGGTGTGAACCCTATGTCCTACCCTCAAACTGCCAGGCAAGATGTAGCCACTTGTGAAACACTGCTATGGCAGTTGCGAGGCAACCAGTAACTTTCTAGTTGGAACGGAGGGAAATTCGTGCCTTGTACTGTAAAACTGGTCACGAAATACAGGTCCTACTGAGGAAGCTACTGCTACTGTTTTGCTAAATGGAAGGATGTGTATTGCGAGGCAATCAAGATTCACTAGACTCAGTACAGGTTAAGAGAAGTTTATTAGGGGGAGAATGCACTTACACAAGAAGCTGCTGATCACAGCAAGTTCCAGCTCCAAGGATTCACCCTGGCTGCCCTCTGTGACCCTCAGAAATAAGAGAGAGCAGAGAGCTCTGGGGCCCCAGGACCCCAGACCTAGTCCTACCCTCCATCAAGTCCCACACCTGTGACCATGCCCAAATGGGCGTGGCCAGTGCTACAGGCATAGGGGTGGATATCTCACTACAGATGAGCCTATTAAATTGCCTCCCAAATCATGTGTATGCCTATAAATTAATGTAGCTGTCAGCTTTAATCAGAGAAGGTAACTTCAGAGATGCATTACTGATCAAGGTAACAGCTAAATGCTCAACCGTAAGTGTGACATCTCTATCGCCCTCTCCAAGACTTCAGGAACACTGTGGAAGAGGAGGTCGGGGTGCGGGGAAAGACCAAGGGGAACGAATAGAATTGTGGAATGTTATCTTCCAGGGATGCCATGGCTGTTGCACTCTCTGATTCACGGCTGCTGTGATTACCTGCAGGAGACCTGTACAAACGTAAGACAAATCCAACATCCTCCCCATTCACGCAGAGGGGAGGAACTCACAAGGCCCCACCCCTCCCTGGGGATCTACAAGTAGTTGAAGGTTGCTAAGGATAAAAGGATGTTTATAAGCACCACTGATAAGATGCTAGGCTCGTGTAAGCAAGCCTAATGAAAGCTGATGATCATAAAACAACAACAAAATAAATGTAGAAGGGGACTAGATGGGAAGTGACAAAGAGGGCCAAAAAGGGGGCGCCATATAATGGGGTGAACATGATCAAAAGACTTTGCATGTGTGTGTTCCTGAAACTGTCACAATGAACCCTACTATGAATAATTAATATATGCTAATGATTTTTAAATGAAACAGCATCTTGAGAGATGATGTGGAGTTCTCCGAAGCTGAGTCAGATATGGATCTATAGACAGAAAAAAATAAAGAAACCTGGCCAAGAGGGAGAGAGAGAGAAAGAGAGGGAGGGAGAGAGAGAGAGAGAACTCTGGAAATTGTAACGCAAAGACAGTTCTAAGAGATTTAGCTTGAACACAGGATAACATGCATACCCTCCCCCCAAAAAAAATGGAAAAGAAAGGAAAACAACTTTGTTGAGTTTGAAAGGCTGGGTATGAAATAGAAATATTGGGCTCCATATTGGATTTACATCCAGGAAAACATAATAGTCTGTTATTTTTAAGACATCATTAATCATTCTTCATCTCACTTTCAGAAATAGCAAAACTGCCACTGTTTGCAAAAGTGCAATCAAGACTTTATTTCAGTCACCCAGCATGCTCAGGACCCCTCCTGCTAGAATCAACACTCTGCCTGCAAAGGGTAGCTCTACAAATGGACAGCAAGAGGAAGACACACAAAACCGGTGAGTGTCACTTGTCAATGCTGTTCAAGTGTAGTTAGTGGCCCGGTGCAACCCGCATGGAAAGAACATCACACAAGGCAACATGTTTTATAATGTTTAATGCAATGGTCCAGCCCACCATTAAAAATATACTGTACGTGCAAGTTATAAGCAAAATGTATTTCTGCATAACATCAACACTAACAGTAGATTGGGTCACAATCTACAACTGCCTACATGATCATCATGAGGCTTTTTCATAATATAATTTTTATACTGTATTAACACACAAAGAAACACTGGTTGTTATTTTCTATTTTTTTAACTTAGAAAACAGTGCAATTTTCATAGTAAACTCTGTGGCCAATGGATGAAATGACACAGCATTTTTTTTGTTTACAAATGACATGATCTCAGAAGAATGAAAGATAAGGATGATGAGACAACTATTTCTTAAGTACTTCTGTATGCCAGGGAACTACATGGATTCACACAATGAGGAGATTTAACAACATCCGATAACACAAATTATATACAAGTAAAAGAAAGAATATTATTTAATGGGAAGTCAGGCATTCTCTCTTAAAATCTAACATTGGCCTTTTTATAAAGTACATTATAACTGCCTAAGTACAACAAGGGACCAGAAATGAAATGGGAAAATCTAGAGAACAAATAATATACTATAACATACTACAAGTAAATCTGTATTTTATCACCATATTAAGTTTCCTCCTAAAAATATAAACAAACTTTTCAAAACTATGGAACAGGAAAATAATTTTATCTTCTAATAACCTCTTACATGCCAACACTGCGTTTTTAATTGCATTTGAGAGTATCCATGTTATTGCCTAACACAATCACAGATGAAGTTTTCAACACCAGTTACAGGTCTGATTGCCTTGGACATTTTGACTGCAGTATTTCTCTATGAAACTATTGCTATCTTTTTATTTTCAGTGAACATTCCAGGTACAGTCATTATGAATATTTTGGTCATAATCTTATATCATCTGACCGTACTTCCTATTATACTACTGGCAGAGAAAGCTGGTAACACACACTTGTTTAAACAAGACTCTTTGAAGAGACTAGTAGCAAAAATTCTCCTGAGTCTAATTATTTGATTATTAAATGTCTTAGGGGCTACTAGTTAACTTGGGACATGGCTTAACCACATTCCGGGTGCTGTAGAGAGATTAAATTTAATAGTCAATCTTCATACACTTATTTTAAACCATTTCTGGAAATGGAGCTATCTTACTTAGCTTTATTTTATTTATTATTTCTTTTTGCTACTCTGTGACTTAAAAAAAAAAAAAACTATTGACTCACCAAATTGTTTGGTCCATCAAGTAATATAATATAGGATCTTAAGAGTTCTAAGTCCAGAATTTTATATGTTTGAATGTTGAATGCCCTCTGCCACATAGTCTAAATATTTACACACACACACACACACACACACACACACACACACACACACGCCCTTGACAAAATGGGAAATTACCCACAAGACAGCTGATTCCGTTTTTAGTTTTTGTCATTGAAGATGTCCCTACACTGAGCAGGACCCTTCTTTCCTAAAACAACCACTCATCTGCCAGTCTCAGTCTTGGCCCTGAGAGGACAACATTGGGTGGGTTATCCGGTTCCTTTAGTGTTCCTAACTGTAAAATGGGTACAATAACTATATGTAATAGGGAGTGGAAGTTAAATAAGTATGTTCATAAAGCACCTGGCACAACAGAGGGCCCTCTGTGAGTGGTTTCCCTTCATCAGGTTTAGGAAGCTTTCCTCTGCATGGGTATCTTAAGAGATGTGGTGACAGCTACGATGTACTCTTCTCCAGGCCAAAAAGGGATTTCTTTCAATGCTTATTTGAGCAATAAACTACTCCTTATTCTTCTAGTCATTTCTTTGTGAATAACTAGTTCTTTGAGAGAACGCTCAACAGCCAACACCCATCCTACCCCGCCCCAGGAAAGATATGATCAACTATTTTATCAACTGAGAGCAAGAGCCATACTCATATCTATGGAAGATGTTTCTCTCTCTTTTATCTGCTGTTGACTTAATCTCCTCCAGACACCTCCAGGGTCCCATGATCTGGCTCCCTGGCAAGCCAAGGTATGGAAAGTCAATGGGAATGGATACTTCTGCTTGTAAGTTGAGGAGAAAATGAGCATTAGGATGCTTCCGAGAAGTTTCCTTCTTCATTCTGGTAGGACAATGCCTCTTCCTCCTCGAAGGCAACTTCTCTCTGTTTTCTCCACCCACTCTTCTGGACCTCGAAATTCTGAGTGGTGGCGCCATAAGACATCTTCTTTCTGGGACTGATGATAGCCTCATGGTTGAGTTCTGTCTCCTCAGCTAATTCATCTTGGTCGATGATTCCACATTTCTCCTCAGAGAGACTCTCTGGATCAGCCCAGTCCTGTTTTTCCCCGGAAGCGAAGACCCCGTAGAAGATGACGCCACTGTAGTGGACCAGGGCTGCTATGAGGAACACGTTCTGCCATTCCTCACGGGTCTGACAAAGGAAATATCCAATTACGGTTTTGAGCAAAAACAGAAGTTAACGGTGAGCCCTAAAGTCCTCCGCTGGAGTGAAAATACCTGCCCCTCAAAGGCTACATTGTGCTTCCAGGTAGGACATAGGATAGGATCAATATCCAAAATCTATACTTAATTTGAGTGCTTGTAAATGAAAGTGAAACACTACATTGAATGCTATTTTGATATTTCAAAATAAGTATGTAAAAGGTACAGGTCACTTGTAGTTGAGGAGATGACTCAGGGTTAAGTCCCCTGGATGTTTTTACAGAGGACCCAGGTTCAATACCTAGCACTCATATGGTAGCTCACAACTATCTGCAACTCCATCTCCAAGGGACAGGATGCCCTTCTCTGCTCTGGCTTTCATGATATATATATATATATATATATATATATATATATATATATATATATGTAGTATACACATACTCAAGCAGACAAAACACTCACTCATGTAGAAGAAATATAAATACATTTTTAAAGATAAAAAATGAGTTTAAAATGCACAAAGGTTTCATAAAAACTAAGTACCACAGCCACGTGGGTACTGGGAACAGAACCCTGGTCCTCTCAAAGAGATCCTCCTTGGAACCATCTCTCCTGCCCCTTTGAGGGTTCTTTTTAAATTTATTTAAAAAAGTTTTTTTTTTTTTTTTGGTTTTTGGAGACAGGGTTTCTCTGTGGCTTTGGAGGCTGTTCTGGAACTAGGTCTGTAGACCAGGCTAGCCTTGAACTCACAGAGATCCTCTGCCTCTGCCTCCCAAGTACTGGGATTAAAGGTCTGTCTCGTTTGTTTTACATCTGACCACAGTTTCCCCTCCCTCCTCTCCTCCTATTCCCCTGCCCAACACACTCCTTCTCCTTCTCCATTCATAAAGGGGCAGGCCTCCACGGGCTTGAACAAAGCATGGTACATCAAGTTGAGGCAGGACCTAGCCCTTCCCCTTGCATCAAGGCTGGACAAGGTGGTTCTTAAGAAAGCCCATTAACGTGTTGTTTATTTTCTCCTAAACAAGGGGAAAGTTGCACCACTACTTTATGTGTGATGTCCTAAGTCTGGGCTGTCCTGTTTTAGCACGTAGAATCATAAAACAATCTTAAAACATTCATTCAGTCTCTATGGCCTTTACTTTTCTCCTCCAAACATTTATTATTCTTGGCTAAGAAGATGTGAACTAGATAACAACTGGTCCTGGTGCCACCAATAAACAAGAAAGCAGAAGGAGGGGAGGAAGGGGAAGAGGAGGAAGAAGAGGAGGAAGTTGTCCAAAACTCAACCAAGGACAAGGACACACTTAACACACAGGGGCTAAGTCACTGAGGTCTCGGTTTGTGCGATGCTTCTATCCTGACATTGTAGCCCACAGAGAGCATTACCTTGTGCTTGGTCATTGCTCCGACAATGAGGGGGCAGACCATCCCAGACAAGGTCCCCACTCCATTAGAAATCCCCATGAGAATGCTGGCGTAGCGTGGGGCAATGTCCAGGTGGTTGACATTAAAACCTATGGTAAAGCCAAAACCTCAGTGTCAGAGTTAAGAACGGAATCCCTAAAACCCTGTGGGAAATGTGTGGCTTGCCCCCCAAGGCTCACTAACCAGTCTGATCTTCTCTAGTACATGTTTAATGGATAGTCTACCTAGAAGGTCCAGCTGGACACTGCCAGGACAGGCTGTCCCTGAATAAAGCAGGACTGTCCATGCTGATCAGCAATGCTCCTATGGTAGTGAGAATTATAGAAAATATGTCCAGCAGATCTGGATCTCCAAACCCTAGATTGTATCTATTGAAAGCAAACAGTCAAACATTACAGAATAGAACCTTAACTTCTGATATGGCTTCTCCCAGCCCACCGCTAAAAGTCCTAAAAGTCCCCCATAGAGGAGTCTGCCTTGGTGGCCATTAAAAAGGGCATTTCCAACTATTTGCATAGACATAGACAGGACTCTCCATAATTTACAAATGGTTTTCATGTTTCAAATTGTATGTTCTGGGTTCAAATCTTATTTCCATCATGTAATCGAGTATAGGAATAATATTACTACTTATCTGTAACAGGTTCTGTGACATGAGAGAAATATAGACGTGAACACCTATGGTGAGCAGCTACACTATCCCAAACACACAGTTCCATGGTGAGCAGCTACGCTATTCTAACCACACAACAGCTGTTGGGCTTCTGCTATTACTGCTGTTCCAGGGAAGCATCCCCCTGTCTCCCTATCGTTAAGATCTTCTACCAGAGAACATGTTGCTGGATGAGGCATGATGGCAAAGTGCCCTGTCAGAAGGAAGGAGCAAATCAAGTGGAGGAGGAGGAGTGAGCGTAGCTAAGCATTGAAAGAAGCCCAAATCCCCATAAACCAGCTCTACCCATACAGCCTAGGGGTGCATTTTAGAATCAGATCTCAACCATGGTACCATAACTGAGATGCTATCTGGACTAAAGATGAAACTCTCTTGGCCCTCAGTTTCTTCCTCTATAAAATGGAGTGATCCTTCTTATAAACCCATTACAGGGATTAAACTAAATAATAATGGATGTTAAGTGAATGGTACCTAGAAGGGAAAGCCAGGTCCGTGCATTTCTACTTCTAATTCTTTTATTTTGCATTTTATTTATTTAGAGACAGTCTTAAACTCACAGACTTAGTTATCTTCCCGCCTTAGCCTCCTGAGAACCTGGGATCTCAGGTATACACAATGCCTAGCAACATGCATGGATGTGAGGTGTAGGCAGCCATCTGTCCTGTTGATCACTGTTTCCCCTGCACTGTCGAAGTGTGTGGCCCACAGGAATCACTCAAACGCCTGGTTTATTTACCAGCAAAGGATTATGGGTTTGGTTCAGTCATGCTTCTGCTTTGTGGGGTACATTTTTATATATTAAATTTGTCCTTGGACAATTTCTTTAAAAAAAAAAAACAGTTGAGTTATTTTCTTTCTGGTTATGTGTATGTGTGCATGTGTGCACACACAGTTACCTGCAGAGGCCAAAAGAGGGTGTCAGATCCCCTTGAACCCGAGTTTCGGAGGGTTATGAGGGTCCTGACGTGGGTATTATGGGTATTGGGAACAGAGCTCAGGTGCTCTGAAAAGCAGCAAGCACTCTTAACTGCTGAGCCATCGCTCCAAGCCCAGCCATGTTCTTTGACAATTTCATACATGTATATAACACGTACTGATTACTCTCTCCCCCCTACAGCCCTACCTACCTCCACACTCCTCTACAGAGCTTTCTCACATCCTTTGTCTTGCTTTTATGGCATGCTGTGTTTAAACAGGCTGCTGTCTATCTGAACATGGGTTTGGAACTATCCACTGAAGCCCGATGGACAACTGAAGACAATGGCTCCCGCTCTCCAGGAAACTATTCATACAGATAATAGCATAATGGAGGAGTAGAGGGTCCCATTAGTCCTTCACCCATTCAGGTCTGATCATTGGTTTGGTTTTTATTTCTCTGTTCTGTGGGGGGGGGTCCCTGAAAAGAAAATCTTCATCCAATTTGGGTAATTTTTTTTTCTCTACCTACATTCAAGGAGAAATTTTAAAAAAAAAATACGTTCTGCAATAAAAACACCTTCTCCTTCAGATCAAAGTACCAGTCAACTGGAACATAAAACAGCTGCAAGATCAGTTAATCTTGCTGGGATTTGAATGTAATAAATACTTCCTAGAAAAGAAGCTAGAGATAAGAGGCAATTAATGTGATTGTTGGGCATTCTGCTCTGATACAAAGCCAGCCTGGGCATTTGCATCCAGCTGAAGAGAGTTTGAAGAAAGCCACTTAGGCTTCTATCGACACACTACTGCTGGTGTTCAGACAGGAAAATCACTGAGAAACTGGGACACTGATGGATTTTTGCAGCACATGAAAATATTACATGCAGTCTGGGAGATAGGTAACTGAGGAACTGGGAACAGGAGACATGGCCTTCCCTAGGGAAGAGCATAGGAGCTGGTTGTCCCATACCAAACAATCATCCATGAAAATATACAGGCAGGTAGCATTATACAGACTGAAACTACATGGGGATATATATACATATACATGTATATATATATATATATATATATATGTGTGTGTGTGTGTGTGTATGTATGTATGTGTGTGTGCGTGTGTATAAATATATATTTATACATGTTCATTTATGAATTCAATAACAATTAGTTTAAAAACAGACCCTGAATTTTAAGGAGAATGGAGAGTTGTATATGGAAGGGTTTAGAGAAGTTGTTCTCCATCCTTCTGGCAAACTCCCATCTCCAAAAATATTTACATTACAAATAATAACAGTAGGAAAATTACAGTTATGAGTTAGCAATGAATGTTTATGGCTGGGGTCAGCACAACATGAGGAACTGTTAAAGGGTCACAGCGTTAGGAAGGCTGAGAACCACTGCTTTGGAAAAAGGAGAAGGAAAGGGGGAAATGTAATGATTAAATTATAATCTCAAAAAAAAATTAAGGGGTTTAAAAAAAAAAAGTGTCCAACATGGAGTAAAGGCAGCTGCCGTGGTTGGAAGAATGGATTTGGACTTGCTTTGTTTTAACCTCTGCTGAGATTTAATTAGCAACCTTGGGAAAGGAAGCAATGGGAACTTGAAGGCTTGGGTAGCTCTGGGGACAGGGCACGAATCTCTCCTGTATGACAGACCTATCAAGGGAAGATTTCCCTCCGCATCCTGCTGGAAGCACACCAGGTTCGCTGTGTTCTTGCAGTGTAGACTGCCACCAGGAATGACAGCACACACTTGTAACCTGGAACCGGGAGTCAGAGGAAGGGGGATCCAGAGGTCAAGGCTAGCCCAAGCTATATACGAAGTCCAGCATCGAGCTGGGCTACAGAGAAAAACTGCGGGGTGTCCCTCGGTGACAGAGGACTTGCCTAGAATGTACAAAGTTTTGTGTTCCTCCCCAAAACTGAAAGATTAAAGTGTGGACGTGGATCGAGGTCACTCTGCGGAGCTTGCTGGGAAAGAAGAGTCTCAGGCCCCACTCTGGATCTTTATTAATCAGGGACTATATTCTTTTAGGCTGGGGTATCTTCCCTGTATGTGAACATTTGGGAAGCATTAGCCGGCTCACACTGTGCGGAGTAATCGAATAAAGATACCAGTCAGCACCCAAAACCTTGCTCCTCACCCAACACTTGATGAGACCTTTGCGTATGCTATTTTTCCCAGAACATAAATTCTGTGAGGGCAAAACTGTAATTGTCCTCTGCAGTATCCCTGTGCTAATGAGGTAGGTGGTATAAGAAAAGGAATCAAAGACCGCGGGGCGCCCTCCCAACAACCTAGACCATGCCGTCCCGGGCCTCCAATCTCCAGATCAGAATTGAAAGAAGTTAGCAAATTATTTATACACAAAGCAATCAAGAAAGATCTCAGCCAACTCTGTGTGCTTCCAAACCCAAATTCTTGGCTTCAGATCTTTCCTTTTCCCTAATATACCTACTAAAAAGCTCTGTTGATGTTGATAGATACTCCAAGCCTCTGTCTTAGGGTAGCTTGGGAAACAAAGTTAACATTTTTTCTGTTCTGGTGTATTCCCATGTTGTTTGATACTTAAGGTGACTCCGGGATAAAGAAGGGCTTGGAGGCAGGCATGTCTGTGTCTGCCCCTAACTGTGTGACAATGGGAAGAACCATTTTTATTATTACTATTTTTATTGTTCAGTAAAATAGTCAAAGACTCAGTTAAATGTTGCTATCACCATTTGCTTCACAATGTGGGGCAGATGCAAATTATAGAAACAGATAACCTATTTTACATTCTCACAGGCTTGGCATAGGGATTTTTCTGGAGTCTATATGCATGATGTGCGCGCGCGCGGTCCTCTGCAAACAGTAAGCTGGTGTCTGCTCCTGTCAAAACCCCCTGGGGTGGTTGTCAGAACATCTCACATAGGATTTGAGCATCCTCAGCATGGAACCCATGCTTGATCACAGTAAGCCCGTATCATCATCATCATCCTCATCATCATCATCATACCTACTTGTTCTGAAGGACCTCCACTCCACCCCAGACCTTAACCTTCTTGTTCAGAAACTGTAAGCAATGGAGCAAACAAAAACAAACAAACAAACAAACAAAAGCAAAACTCATTGGAAACCATAGAAAACTATAGAAATTACTCTAAACGTTTCCAATGTTTGTGGCCACATGTCAAATGGCATGGCCATTTGAGTTAAAATTAGCAGTCCTCTACCAGGAGTGGGTCTGTCAGGTAGGGTGAACAGGGGTTAGCCTGGGATACATGTCTGAGCTCTGCTTATGCCTCAGGGAAATCAGCTGCACTTACGTGTTTTCTCCTGATAAAGTTAGTAGAGACAATAACAACCAGAACGGGCTGTAAGTATATCCCTGGTGGATCTTACGTCACCCCACTTAATAAAACTGTGCAGTGGCCACGTTCCTTGGGAACCCCTGAGCTACTAAATGAAAGTACTACAATTCCCTTATGCTTCCTTCCTCCTATGACTTGGTGAATCTATATACTCGATTCTGAAAAACCAGGATGTTTTACCTGAAATAGCAAAGCCACTGAATCCCACAGCGAGTACCAGGAAGGAAATAGCTACTCCTTTGGTGTGGGAAAAGCCGACCACCAGAAGCAGCGTTGCCTCCATGCCAAAGCCTGGAAATAGAAATGCAAGAACTGTCATGTTTCTGTCAGTCTGACAAAGCTATTGAACCTAACCCATTTATCATGAACCTGAGGTTTTTAGTGCTTACATCCTAACAGTGTCTACAATATCTCCCAGGGTTCGTGGATGCATGGCTATGCTATTGCCTAAGTGTGCTGCAAACTTTCTACCTTATCCTTGAATAACAAATGGTCCTGGTAGGGTCAATGATGGTCCTGGGATGGGAGATGTGAGTAGTTAACCCTTGGGTAGTTGCTTTCTGCCGGCCTGCATGTACCGCCAGTGACCCCTTTTGTCTACATAGGTTGTGGCCTTCTCCATAAAAATAACATTACAACATTCCTGTAATATTTTCTTCTAAAAACAAAAAAAATTATAATAATCATCTGAAATAAAAAGTCCAGTCAGGTGTGTTGGCTCAGGTCAAGTTACAATGATCACAGATTTAAGGGCAGCCTGGGCTATATAGTAAATTGAAAGTCAGTCTATCAAATAGTGAGACCTCCATTTCAATTTTTAAACAATGAGACCATGCAGAGTTCAGTACTTGGAAGACAGAGGTAGGTAGAGCACTGTGAGTTCAAGACCAGCCTGGTCTACAGAGTGAATGCCAGGTCGGCCAAAGCTACATGATGAGACCATGTCTCAAAAGAAAGAGAAGGGAAGCAGGAAGGATGGGAGGGAGGGAGGGAGGAGGGAGGAGAAGGGAAAGGGAGGGGAGGGGAGAGGAGGCTGATGGTAGCTCAGTGGTAGAATGCTCACCTGGCATGCACAAGACTCTAGACTCCATCTCTAGTGAGGGAAAGGAAGGACTAAATAAGTAAATAAAGCAAAGTAATGTCTAATGCCAGTGAAGCGTAAGTCAAAAATTGTCCCTTTCACTGGTTCACCAAGTCTTCAGGCCTCCGAAAAAAGTGTGAGATGCTCTCACAGAAAGTATAGTAAGGGAAACATACTTTCTGTCCTTTTCATCCAGAATAAATGATTCCAGCATTGTCAAAAAAGATGAGATAATTATAAAGACATGCATCCCCATTAGAGAGCGCGCTCATCTAGCAGCGGGCTGAGAGATGGCATAAATACCGCTTGCAGTACACAAAGAGTGGGGGATAATTAGAGTGGAGGGTCCGTTCTGGAGACTAGCTGCTGAGTCCACACATCTCCCCACGATCCTCCACAGTCACTTCCAGGACAACATGACCAACCGAGTGTCTGTTCCTCTTGTTTTCAGGCCTGAGAACCCAAAGCACACCACCCCTCCGCTCCCTCATCTTTCTCCCGTTCTCTGATGAGTCCTCAGCCTAGCCGAGTTTGGGGATTAGACTGTATTTATACTGTCCAGAGACCCTGACTTTAGATTCTGCCTCAGAACCATGACCTGTGTCACCTTGGACTAGTTATGCTAGCTCTCCAATTCCTCATACTAAAGACAGAGCTAACCAGATGGCCTAAAGGAACACTGGGAGGTAAAAGGAAGTCAGGAATATGAGATTCTGGAGTAGCGCATGAGAGCACATGTGGTCGCCAGACAACCAAGCAGAAACGTTAGAGCCACCGGAGACTTCCTTTAATCCTCAGGGTTCACATAAAACTGTGTGCATTCAGCCTACTTTGAAGAGGGGTCGGTGGCCATGGGGAACGTCCAAACAAGCAGATTATGAAGCAAGAAAATGCATTCAGGACCTAGATTGCCAACGTGGATTATTGGCAATTCAGAAGGCACGTTTAAAAAACGTGGAAGAACATTTCAGAAACAAAATTGAGATTCTGAAGAAGAACCAAACAGAAGTGTCAACAGACAGGACCGAGCATAAGAAAAAAATGTCAGGGACAGAGGACAGGGTCAAGACTAAAAAAGGTCAGAACACGCAAGACTACAAGAGCATGACCAAAATTCCCAGGAACTCTAAGACACATTCAAGAGACCGAAACTAAGGAGCCACGAGGTAAAAGGAAAAGATGAGATAAAGAAAAAAAAAAGAGTGGAAAATGTATTTGATTAATTTATAGCAGAAAGGTTCTCAAATCTAGAAGAAGAAGTAGACATCTAAACAAAAGAAGTATCTAGACTCTGAAACAGACACGGTCAGAGAAGAAGCTCTTCACATCACATCATAGGCAGAATGCCAAAGCTACAAAGCAAAGAAGTGATATTAAAAACTCTAAAGGAAATGTCAACTATCAATGGAAACATCAGGATAACATTAGATTTCTTGTCATCAAACCTAAAACCTAGGAAATCATCAGATGATGTTCCAAGCCCTGAAAGTAACGTCTGACCCAGCTTGCTATATCCAGCAAAATTATCTTTTTAATTGATGGGAAAATATGAAGCTACCAAGATAAACACAAAGACAGTGATATGACAACCATGCTAACATTGCAGAAAATACTTAAAGGAATACTATACTCAGAAAAAGAAGAAAATCCCATTTATTCATCTGTGGATTAGCCTACTCATGAAATTAGTAGCTTCATGGTCCAATCACTTCTCAATGGTGCTACTAGCTGGGGACCAAACCTTCCACACATAGTCCTTTGAGGTCATTCATATCTAAACTCTTGATGCAGTGAAAACAGAATGTGAGCAAACACCCAGTAAAGAAGATGTGAGTGAACAACATCCCAGACACAAGATATGTTCACATCTGTCCAGGACTAAGATGAGCTGGTACAGAATGAGACAGACCAGTGAGGTATCTATTTTATTAGCTTCCAGTTGCTGATGTAACAAATTACCATAAGCCTAACAGTTCAAAACAACATACATTTATTATCATACAGTTCTAAGTCAAAAGTCCTAAGAGGGCCATTTTAAGAGAAAAGCAAGCTGTCAGCACAGCTGTGTTCATTGTGAATTTGTTTTTGCCTCTGCTGTCTCCTAGAGTCTGCTCATGATTGTAGCTTGTAGCTGAATCACTCTGACCCAATTCTACCTCCATGACTCTTGACCTACTGCGTCCTCTATTAAGAAAACCTGTAGTTACACTGGGCCCACCTAACTAGTATAGGATGATCTCTCCATCTCAAGACAGTTTAATTTAGGGCATGGAGATATAGTTCAGTTGGTAGACTGCTTGCCTAACATTCACAAAGTCCTGGGTTGGATTCCCAGCACCACATAAACTGAGTGTTGTGGTGCATGCCAATTATCTCAGTATTCAGGAGGTAGAAGCAGGAATATCAGTGGTTCAAAGCAATCCTCTGCAATGCAGGGAGTTTAAAACCAGCCTGTGATATATGGGATTCTATCTCAACAAAAACTCTTCAAGTTAGCCACATCTGCAAAGTCATGGGAGACAATAGAGAGTACCCTGACTGCCATGCCCCAAATCTTCATCTCCTGCCCAGCCTAGGGTGGGTCTGCCCCTGCCATCCTTCAATCTCCTATAGAACAGTTCAGACCCAAGAATCCCTGAAGAGCTGATTCCTGTCTCTCCCATTACTCACTCTTTACTCCTGCCATGTTGTGAGTCAGATCGCCTCAGCTCTTGTATCTCTCTACATAGTTTCTTCATTCATAAATGGGTCTGCCCCCTCTAATCTGGAGTCAGAGCATGACCATATCAGTTTAAAATCCCACTCATGACCTTGTAACCATTGGGGATGCTTCCTCTACTGCCCACTCAGTCACTGTCTACCAGTTCTTTGGAGAGACAGCAGTTGAGAGGACAATGGGTTCAGACAATCCTGTTACCTTGCACAGGATCGGCCACTTGGAGAAGCTATTTTATTTGACCTCACTTTTTGTTTCTGCCTGTAAACTTCATAGCACATACCACTCCACAAGGCTATAGTGAAGATTAAGTAAGACAGTACATGTGGAGTCACTTGAAAGCACACACTTAAAAACATAGAGCTAAGAAAAATGGAGAGGTTGAAAATGTGAACAGTTATAAACATTGTGACTAGTTTTGATTTCTTATGTGTTGTCCTTTGTGTTTTACCCAAACATATGTGTATACACAAATTGAAGAAGAAAAGGAAATAAACTATGTAAACAAATAATAACTGGAAGGATATGTAGAAAAGATAAACAGCAAAGAGATACATAATCAGAAGTTATTTTACTTTGTCTGCAGAATAGAAGGAAAGGGTGTTTCTTGAGTTTTAAGTGTGTCCTGATCCATCAGTCATCAACTAAGTTGTCCACCCCAGATTGTACTGGCTACATAACCACTTGTCAAGGACGCGGCAGACAACACTTAACTACCTACAAGCAGATGGACTCAGAGGTCTTCAAGATCCATTACATTGTCTAGACTCAGCCTGACTGAGGCTGATGGAGCCCAGTCTCAAGCTAAGCAGGGTTGGGTTGTGTTATTGCCTGGATGGGTGACAACGTCTGGGCTGGCTTTAAAGTGGGTTCTGCATTTCGTTTGTGCTAATCCTACAGAAACCATTTGAGCCTCTTGGCGCAGTACCTCCACAGTTCATGATCTTTCGGACAGCAGTTGTGGTTAAGATCTTTCTGCTTCTTAAGCAATCAGCCAATTGTCCTCCAATGGGTACCACGATTGTCATCACCATATGCGGGACAGCAGACAAGAGACCCACCTGGAAGGAAAAGAGACAAAGAGCCAACTTAAATTCTTCTGGGAGATCTTAACAAGTTCCTCCTCACCCCAGTGCACAGCCCCACAGCCATTCCCAAGTTTGGTTATCTATTGTAGGATCCTAGGAGGTTTGAAATTCATAATCATTAGGCAATTAATGGGGGGGGATGATTTTGTGTATGGACCAATTGTCTTCTCCACCTGGCTGAAAGTTCCACTGGGCCAGAGACAATGCTTAGTCAACACAAGGCCCGGGTATCCAGAATGAGGCCTAGCAGAGGAAAAACATACATTTATCCATCATCACATGACTATGCTTCCGGCGGCGGCTTGACAGCGCCTGCAGCTGATCAGACATCTATCTACCTGTGCCTGGCTGCAGTTCTTTCTCTTGAAGAAGAGGAAATTTATTGTTTCATGATGACTGTTTTGTTTCACTATCAAAACCTCTTGAAACACCTAATGGCAACCACTGGAGACTTCTATAGGAGGTTGGTTTTAAACTATCCCAAGCAACATTGTTACGGCTATGTTCACCATTGTGAAACACAGGGCTAGTCTGAAACATTAGCCTCAATGTTTTTTTCTGGCAGCAATGAGCAGTTTATTGCATTTGTTTATTTATTTAGTGGGAAGTACTATGGTCATAGCACACATGCTGAGGTCAGAGGACAAATTACAGGAATTGAGTTATTTCTTCTACCATCTGAATACGGGGGACCAAACTCAAGTAGTCAGACTTGACCATAAGTACCTTTACCTGCTGAAAAACCTCACCAGCCCATATAATGGGTAGTTTAGAAGGAGAAAAACATACTCCATCAAATACTTTTATCTTTGAACTAATATTCATGTTTTCACTACCTTCAGAAGCACCCTGAGATTAGATAGAGGCACCATCTTTAAATGCAGATGAGTATATCTTTGATCCTTACTAATAAGAAATTAAATAGTCAGACTATTGTCTGGCCTCCGGGACGCTAAGTGTCACAGAACTTTATGAACGATAGCCATTTCATTACTTTATCATGTAAAGTTATTCTCGGTCAGATCAAGACAGTTAAAGTTCATTGGAAGCATCTGCATGTTTACCTTGCTTATTGCAAACCCAAAGACTTCTTCAAAGTAGGCAGGCTGACTTATTAAGAGCAAATAAAAGGTCCAGCTTCTACAGAAGTTTGCCACAATGATAGCATAGACAGGCAAGGATGTGAAGAACCTTTTCCATGGTGTATTGAATTTCTAGGGAGTAAAAAAGACCATGAGCTTTTGAGTCAAGACACTGACATCATATTTCTGGAAGAAGGTGTGTAGTGCATAGGGTCTTTATGGAAAACCAGCAGTGTTAAGCACACAGGCTTGTCTCTTCAATGGAAGACATGTGTATACCTGTTTTCCACCCAGGAGGCTGAGAGTGGATGTGGATAATAACTTGGTGACCTTTGCTATATGTAGGGCCAGGCATCACTCAAATCTCCCAGACTATTATGCTTATCCCAGACTCTCCATCATTAGACTTTTATCTTGAGCATTGTTTCTCAGCCAGTAGAAGCCATCCTTATGGGAAATGTCACTTGTACTTTATAGCCCAATGACCTCTACACTATCTGTATGACTGAGACCTCACTAGATCTTAGTCCCTTAAGCCGTAGAACCCATGGTAGAGATCGCATGTACTTTGCAAAAAGAGTTCCCACGTAGTCATACCTTAAGCTTCATTGTGCACATGGTATTAAGATAATTATTCCCAGGAGCCATTTTTACAAAATTGTACTGCACTTAAATATGTCTAAAATAAAATAGACAGTGTCAGACGCTGGAAGTTTGAACCAGCAACAGCTAACTAGACTGTGCTGAACTGGATTTCCGTCTCGCCTTTCGTGGATCGTCCCTTTGCAGGGACCCCCACAGGAAGGTAACACAATCATGGAGAGAGACACACGCGAGAAAGAGGCTGGCCTTTACCTTCCATCTGTACTTACACTTGGACTGGCCAAGTTGGTCCCTTCTCCTATACTTGTCTCTATGTAGGTCCTTTCCGCGTTGGATATTGTGGGGTGAGCTGCTGGGCACTCATAGGCCTGCAACAGCCAAAATATGTACCAAATGATCCCAAACATACCTGCAGATGAAAAGACAAAGATCTCAGTGGCATGGCCTCTTCTTCCACCTCTATAGTTGTTAATTTTTATGATAGCATATGTTCATTGAGGAGAAAAATCTTGGTTTTCATCGTATTGATGAAGACTTAAAGGAAGGCACTATTCTGCTTGTTTAAAAATGCCAAGTATTGAACTGGTCACACGCAGACTTCCCAATTGTATAATGAACTTATCTTTGTATTTCTGTTTTCACATGGTAAGCCCTTAACATACCCTTATACAGTAAACTATATCTCTGTGTGTCAACACTTGAACTCTTGAAACCAAATCACTCACCGTAAATGTAAAAGACAGAGGCCCAGCCTATGTACTGCACCAACACTCCTGCCAGTGGCATGGCAATGACTGCCCCAGCATAGGAACCTGGAAGCAGAAATGATTGGGAGACACTGACCAACCATCGTACGAGCCCTCTTCGCCCAGGCAGAGTGTGTGATGAAGTCCAAGCCAGATGTCTCCATGACAACTGTCTCTGCATCTGAGCTGCAGTATCCCAGCCCCCAAGCGTGCCTTAAAACATGCGCAGGAGAGGAAAGTCTTCAGGATGCTCTTTAACTTCGCTGAGAGGGACATCCAAGGATTGGACAAAGTTTGCTTGGGTACCACTGTTTAGAATTCCATGAGCAAACGGAATCCAGAGATGAGAAAAAGTGTAAGAGAAAAAATGTAATACAGCCAGGCACAGTGCTGGGTGCTAAATACAGCAAAAACAGGAATGTGGAACCTGCTTTTGGAGCTCCCAGGGCCCTACCTGGATGCTTTCATAGCCGGGAAATAGGAACTATCCCAGCTTCCTAAGCTGGGACTGATCTCTAAGACAGGGACCTCGAATGTGGCTGTGAGATCCGAGGAAGGAGAAAGACTCATTCCAACATAAGATAGGAATCCATCTCGTCTCTTGGGGGAGTTATCCATGCTATGGTGTAAGCTGGAAATGGTCATATAAATGCCAGCTGCCAATGCTTTTCTTATCTACAGAATAGCAAAGGACATCTTCTGAGACAGGCTATCAGGTAGCTTAGGTTGGCCTTGAACTCATTATGTATGACTTTGAACTATTGATCTTCCTGTCTCCACCTACCAGGTGATAGTTTTGTAGGATGTGTCACTACATCTGTCCCTAGGTGGTACTGGGATCATAACCAAGATCTCCCTGCAGACTAGGCAAGTGCTCTCTAAAGTGAGCTACAACCCCGGCCCTAAGGCACATTGATTTTTAAACTTCAGAATTCTTCAGAGCAATAAAACAAGCACTCCAGACCATACATACATTAGCAAAGAAATCTCTCTCCTTACTTTCTATCTCTGTCTTTCTCTGTCTCTTTCACTCAGTGTGTGTGTGTGTGAGAGAGAGACAGAGAGAGTGTGTGTGTGTGTGAGTGAGAGTGTGTGTGTGTGTGAGAGAGAGAGAGAGAGAGTGTGTGTGTGTGTGTGTGTGTGTGTGTGTGTGTGTGTTTAGAGTGGTCTTCTGCTCTGTCCCAGGGAGCAGTAGGGTAAAGTTTGCATGATGCAAAGGTGTGCTTACGACAGAGAAAGTCAGAAAGAATGACCAGGTACTATGACTGCTGTATTCTAATTGGTGGGCCAAGCACACCCTGGACCCATAATTTTTACTCCAGTTCTTTCAACCTGATGAGGGACACACAAATATTATCCCCCATTTTATAGGGCAAGAAAAGGATAGGGTTTTGTTTGTTTGTTTCTGTTTTTTGTTGTTGTTTTTGTTTTTGTTTTGTTTTGTTTTGAGACTGGGTTCCTCTGTGTTGCCCTGGCTGTCCTGGAACTCACCAGACTGACCTCAAACTCACAGAGATCCACCTGCCTCTGCCTCTGCCTCCCAAGTGCTATGCTCAACCACCACCCGGCTTCTGTGGTTTTTCAACCCTGCCTCCTTCACCATCAGATGCCAACAATCCCCCACTATAAGGAGCATCCTTTCACTGGGGAAACTACAATGGACCCAGACCACCTCCCCTGTCTACCAAAGGCTCTGACCTCCAATTACAGCCCTAATACCACCCCCCATCCCTCACTCACAGCCCCTTGAGCTTGTTCCAAGTGAGGTATCCAGTCCTCGGGGAGTGCTGTGCTGTGGGCAGGGGAGGAAGCCATGCAGGAGGGGAGAGACTAGACATGCTAATTTCACCTCTTTTCCCAAGTTCAACCAACTCTAAAACAATGGGCTGCGACCCCATGTGTTCTAGTCTCTTCCGAGACCAGTATGTTGTAAGACTAAGAATGGGTTAACCTCAAGCTTTCTTTGTAGAGACGTTTTCCTTGGACTGTTCTTTGAAACCACACCACGCCTTAGCTGGAAAACATCGTAAGGCCTGAGACCTTGACCAGGCATCTTTCCTTGAGTGGAACCATTTTTAAATCAGCCCTTTTGAGTCTATAAAACCACTCTGAGAATGGGGAGCGGCTACGAGTCACTCTCGTTTTTGCTGGCAAGTCAAAATGAAAGGTCTTGCCAATCAACTGTCATAGAAAGTAAGGCCAAGGGTCAATACCACCAGCAGTGACTGGGAAGTCTTACAGCTTCTGGGGTTGGTTGTAACTTTTGTAGAGTGGAGACTCCCTCTGGAAATCAAGAGGATGGACATAAAGCTAAAGACATCTGAACTATGTGCTCTTTTGAACTAGACACAAAACAGGGACACAATCAAACTCCCAGGGAATAGTTTATGGCCCTAATAATGGTTTAAGTGAGATATGGAGACAATAAGAAAGAGAGTTAATGGGGCTAGAGAGATAGATCAGACGTTAAAATGTATCAGCTGCTCCCTCAGAGAACCCTGGTTCAATTTCTAGTACCTACCTGGCAGCTCACAGCCATCTATAACTTCGGTCTCAGGTAAGCCATTGCTACCTTCTGGCCTCCATTAGGCGTCAGGCATGCACATGGTATGTAAACATACACACAAACAAAACATCCGTACACATAAAATGAATAATTTTTAAAAGAAAAATAAGGACCCTCGTATTAATAAAGAGGAAGGTTGATTTCTTCCCTTAGTAAAGAAGTTCAAATCAACTTATGCTTGAGAATGTAGATAGCTTGAAAGAACTGGGTAGTTATGATGGATTAAGGCAACTGCCACCAAGCCTAATGACCTGAATTCAATCCTGGACCTACGTGCTAGGAGAGAGCTTCAACATATGCCCCGGTATGTGTATACACCCACCCCCCCACACACAAATAAATTATAATTCTAAAAATAAATCAGATTGCTAGGAGTGGTGGTGTATACCATATACTCACAGAGGTAGGAAAGTAGTATTATGAGTTATGAGTTAGAGGCTGGAAGGCTATCCTGGGAAACACAGCCAAATCCTGACTCAAAAAACCCTCCAAAGATCAAGTTCCCACAGACAACTTGAATGCCTATTTATGTACCAAACCATCTTCATAACTAGAGAAGCCAGCTGAACTATGCAAGGAAATATTAAGAGGCTTAAAGAGAAAAAGAATTTAACAGCTCTAAGAATTCTTTAATTATGAGTAAAAACAAAATCTGATATGTGAGACCATGCTGATAAAACAGTGGCCCACAGAGACAGTGAGGTGAGAATTCAGAGATTTCGCAAACCATCTCTACAAAGGAAAGGATTTTTGTCCTTTTGGTGGAGAACCTAAAGCCCAGTGGTTACATACTGCAGTCAGTAGTTAACAATAGTGGTTAACAAAGGTTACCTGGGCTCTAACAGTAATTAGCATTCAGTGACCAGGTCTACTCAGTTATTGAAAAATGAAGCCCAAGTCAAGGAGAGGGTGGGATGTTTTGTACCTTTCCAGAATAAATTCAGGGAGCGGGGCTGGCTGACGCACTGTGTAATCCCAGCACTCTGCAGATGGATGCGGTAGGATCAAAAATTTAAAGTCAGAAGGGGCTGTGTGACACTCTGCCTCAAAAAGGTGGGACAGGGCTGGGGAGATGGATTCTCAGTGGGCAAAGTCCTTGCACAAGCATGAGGATGGGGATTCAAATCCCCCAAACCTTTGTAGAACTGGCATGGGTGGTGAACACCTGTAATCCCCAGGGTCCTACACCAAGATGAGGGGCACAGACAGGAGAATCTGGAAAAGTCCAGCCATCCTGGCGTATGCATTAACAAAGCAACAAAAAAACACACAAGGTGGAAGGTAAGGACAGACACCAGATGATTTGTGTGTGTGTCGGGGGGTGTCCACATATACACCATGACATGTACACACACCGTCGCCACCCCACCATCATCCACACACATACAGGTAGACAAAATATAAAAACCAGTAGTTAAGAGTCAAATCCTAAGGCTAGAGAGCTAGAGAGCCAGCTCAGCAGCTAAAGGCCCTCTGGTCTCTTGCAGAGGTCTGCTCAGTCCCACCGCACACATGTGGCTGCTAACAGCCTCTGTAACCCCAGCTCCAGGGGATCCGGTGCTCTCCTCTGCCCCCCTCAGGCAGGCACCAGAAACACATGTACACAGACATGTTCAGGCAAATTTCTAATACAATAAAAGATGTTTAACTCTTTTCTTAGAAGACTCAGAAATCAAATATAAGTAAATAAAAAATGTTTACTTAACACTTCCTAAGAACATTCTAGTAAAATGGTAAAATGTTTTTAGGGTTTTTTGTTTGTTAGTTGTTTTTTGTTTTTGTTTTGTTTTGTTTTTGTTTGTTTGTTTTGTTTTTTGGTTTTTCAAGACAGGGTTTCTCTGTGTGGCTTTGGAGCCTGTCCTGGAACTTGCTTTGTAGACCAGGCTGGCCTTGAACTCACAGAGATCCGCCTGCCTCTCCCTCCCAAATGTTGGGATTAAAGGCGTGCACCACCTTGCCCAGCTAAATAAAATGTAAAATGTAAATGACTCTCTTTAAGGCTGAAACTAGTTTTGGAAAAACTTACTTCTTTTCTTAACTGCCTTTAATACAACAATAATGGTCTGTCTGTAGAAATTAAGTCAAACACTCCTATGTTCTAATCCTAACTGCCTGGCCACACGGTAACTTCTGTGAACTAAGGTACTTTTGCCTTCCTGGGCCCCTTCCTCTATAAAAATACGTTTCACATACATTTTGTAACTGCTGGTAGCTCTCATTTCTCTCGATAGTCCATACTGAGAAAAAACTGCCGGGCACTGACTCCTCCCTGCCATGCTTAGGAGAGAACCTTGGAATACAAGGGTCACAGAACCGAGAACTGAAGTCACATCACTCTTGGGGACCTCTGGTCTGCTTGCAGATGGAATGATGGGCTCCATTGTGTGTGTGTGTGTGTGTGTGTGTGTGTGTGTGTGTGTGTGTTTTAATCTGGAATATAACGTCCACAGTTAAGTCCCACAGAGACAGTAACAACATACTAGTTATGTGTACTAAGGGAAGTTCCTTTTTTATATAATTTTTATTTTAATTTGAAACAAGCTTGTTTTACATGTCAAACTCAGTTCCGCCACCCTGCCCACCTCCCCTGTTCCCCCCCCACCAACCCCTATCCCATCCCCTTTCTGCTCCCCAGGGAGGGGAGGCCTTCCATGGGGAGTCTTCAAAGTCTGTCATAGCATTTGGGGCAGGGACCAGGCCCTCCCCCATGTGTCTAGGAAAGTTCCATATTTCCAGTCAAGTGGTCTCAGCTCTGCAACCTTGCACAAGGCATTATATTTTTGCTTTGTTATGAAAATGGAAGGGAAAGGGCAAAACTTGATAATCCCATCTCTTCTACTTTAAAAATATTTTGTTGCATTCTTATCTATTTATTTTGTGTGTATATTGTTATTCAGGCATCTGTACTGGCCTGCCCTTGAGGCGCTAACAGGATCCATCCTCAGCTGTAGCCACTAAGAGCACCACCTGTGCAAATTCACTGTTCCCTTTTAAAAGGGTCCTGCCCACCTCCCGTGTGTGTGTGTGTGTGTGTGTGTGTGTGTGTGTGTGTGTCTGTCTGTCTGTCTGTCTGTCTGTCTGTCTGTTCTTCTCTCCCTCTCTCTGCTTCTCTGCCAGTCTCTCTGTGCCTGACCCTGTCCCCAGGGACTGGTCTCCCCTCTCCCCTCCCCTTTTTCCCATTCTCTTTCCCCTAATTAAAAAAACAAAAAACCTCCACGTGAGCTCTATTAAGTAGTCTTTCTTTCTCTCGCTGCTTTTTAATTACAGCACATGTAAGGGGCATGCACAAGCCATGGCACAAAGGTGGACTTCAGAGGCTCACCTACTGGACTACTGGAGTTGTCTCCTTTTACCATGTGGATCCCATGACCTGGGACCGCTCAGTGAGCTTTAGCCCCAACCCCAGCGACTATTTATTTCCCTTAGGAAGTCTGTCATATGGGAGAATAGGTTCTTTTCGAAGGTTCTATATAGACTTCTCAGTTACTTGAAGCCAAAGGGCATTCCTAAACCAACTTATGACTGTAACACTCTTACCACAAAAAGAAGTTGTGGCCAATCGGCTTCTCTCCAGGGGCGGTGCCCACTTACTCCACATCCCATGGCAAGCTGGGTAGGTCACACCCTGGCAGAAAGATTAAACACAGATGGCTACATTTTATTCCAATTCCTTTCTGTGTTTAAAGTGCAAATGCTACTGCTTCACATAAGCTACAACACAAAACTACAATGTGTATACATTATCAGATACAAAGTCTATCTTCCTCTCAACTTTTCCTGTTGGAACCCAATCTCCAGTGTGGTGAGGTGTGAATGTGGCCATTGGGAATACCAAGTGCACCGTGTTAGAGACCTCGCGAGTAGAATTAGTGCCCTTACAGGAGAGACCCACAGCACAGGCAATGTGGGAATACAGAGATGATGTCCTATTGGTCTACAACCCAGGAAGTAGGCCCTCATCATCACTGACCATGGTGGTAACACAGGTCTGGGACTTCCTAGGAAACAAATGCCTATTGTCTGTGGTGCTATGTTACTGACAACCTAACAGATTTTAATTAGTTATTTTTTTTAATTTAACTAATTTTGACTCATTGCACCAATCAAAAATATAGTTCAAATGTAAGAGTGGAGGAGTGTCCAAAAAGATATTTATATTTAGCCATATTATCTATATACCTATGTATATTTCTATGTTTCACATTATTAAAGAATATGGGTGTAGGAAGTGACTTCCACAGTCAGCCAACTGGGCTCCTCATTTCCAGACACAGAATCTGAGGTTCAGATTCATTCGACTGGGTTTCAGCCTCGGTCTTCACACTATGAAGTCACATCAGCAGTTATTGAACTACAGTGAATATCCTTCCAACAGGACTAAAGCTAGACTGGATACTCAACAACAGTCTACGTTTTTTCTGACTTTTCATCTTACACAGGGTAACTGGGGACTGAGCCTAGGGCTTTGCACATGCTAGACAAGTATTTTATTACTACTATACCCCTGTTCCCTCTAAGTGTTCTTCTGCAACAGGGCCCCTCTAAGTTCCCCAGGGAAGCTTGAAACTTGATAACCTCCTGTCAAGCCCCTTCCGTAGCTGAGATTACAGGCCTGCACCAAGGAGACCCACTGCATTCTTTATTACTGTTGGTACACATATCTCTTATATGTTTTAGGTCAAAATGTAACCAGCACACCCAACCCGTAGTTTAAAGATGCAAAAAGGGGGTCTTATTGAGAACCCTAAAAACTGAGAAAAGGGGATCTTCTTCAAGAGCTCAATGTTCTAGAACACCACACTTCCTCTGGCAATGTGGAAAACTGTAAAGAAAAATGTCTCTCCTACCTCCACCAGGCCCTGCAAAATCCTCACACACATAACACAGCCATAATGTACCCTGGCTGCAGAAGGGATGAATATGTTCAGAGTTGATGTCAAGAAGATGGCAGCTCCAAAGACCCTAGGGGACCAGAGCACTGTGTTATTGGACAGGATGACATCAGGAAACAGCTTAAAGGTTCACTCAAGACCATGATGGAAATGAAGAGAAATTAATTCAGAGAAATAAACAGTAAACTAGAATCTGCTATGTGCCCGGCTAGTCTCCTGGGCTACTTTGATTCTCAACTTCCAGTCCATGGACCATATGTGATCTATTTCATATTATAGCTATTACAGCCCAGGCTATGCTTAAAAACATATAAAGGAGACCACGTTTTGAAACAATACTCTAATAGACAATATATTTAGATGTTTCATTGTCTCTATTTTCTTCAGTTCTATTCCCTTCTGTTCCTCCCTCTTTCAAATAAAATCCCCATTAGTAAATCACTATACTGATTTCACGACCATGTAAGTTGTGATTTCAGAGATTAAAAAAAAAAAACTGTCTTGCAAAATTTTATATACTTCATGAAGTTGACGGTTGACTTAAGCAATGTCTCATGACGAATATACTGGAAGGACCTGGATGTTTGGTTCACTCTTTTTCTGGAATCTATTCAGTCTACATCATTTTCCCAAGATGGACACTCTTCTCATCAAAGACGTGTGGTGATGGAAAACCCCCTTCCTCTTTAGACGGCTCACTCTGCTCTGAAGAGTGATGTTATAAGTATCTTGTGGTGTAAAGGCAAGGCCTGGGTGCTCACATGACAGCAATCCTACTATGCTGACGATGTCAACAGAAACACAACTCAATCCAACATTTCATTTCTCAGATGAGGAAACTTCCCAGCAAAGAAGTGGGTCAGTAGAGTTAATTCCGTAGCCAGTGTGGGGTCATGGACCACTTCCCCAACTCACAAACAATTATTCTTCCTACCACACAATCACTTAATGAGCTACAGGGTAAATGACACTGTGGAGAGACAAAAGCAGATAAAAAAACAGTTCCATTTGGGATCAATATCTCTGAACTGCATCTGCCTTAGCGGCTCCCGTTTTCCACTCTGCACCCCTATGCTGAGAAGAAACATCCAGACTTAACAGAGCCATGAGGTCCCGATATGGCCTCAGAAGTACTCATTGTGTCCATTACTCTTACCTGTTGGCAGCAAACTTGTTTGAAATGAAGCCACCGGGAATTTGTGTCACAATATAACCCCAGAAGAAAGATCCATGGATAAGGCCCACCGTCTCTGGGTCCCAGTTAAACTGCGCCATCTGAAAACAAGAATCAGATGCAGCTGTGTTTGTGAGGGACAACTGATGGCATTTGTCTGTCTTCCTTTTTCAGCAGGTATTTCTGGAAGGCGCCTTGGTTGCTTGGGTTACAGCAATGGGGACGTGAAACAAAGGGTCCCTGGTCCTACAAAATTACCTACCTTCTGGTGAGAGGGAAGAGCTGCATGAATTTTGGAACATACCCACATGTATGCAAAATGTGACATACCAAATAGTCATGTATGCTGAGGAGAAAGTAAAACAGTCTGTGACAGAAACAAGCCCCCAGTTCTGCACTTTGTTCAGATGCCAGTGCGGTGACAATAACTATACTCTTGGGACTCTCAAGTCCTTTCCTCTTTTTCATTCTCTTTAGTATTAGTAAGAGCTACAGACGGAGTTTAGTGGTTAAAGCACACAATATTCCAAAATGTGGGGGGGGGGGATGGTTAGCATTGTATTATCAAATGTATTTTTGTGGGGATGTAAGGCTCTAGATTTAATCCCCAGGATAAATGCTAAACAAATAAGTACTTCTTGTTGTTATTGTTTTGAAATGGGTTCTCATTATATAACCCAGGCTGGCCTCAAACTTGTGGTTCTCCAGCCTCAGCCCCCTGATTTCTGGGAGTACAGGTTTGTACAGCCATGCTCGGCTGAGCCTCAATTCTACTGGCTTCACCCAGCTGTCAACTGTCAGATGACACTGTCTCCTTCTCACACTTTTCTCTCTGAGAAGATGGAGTTTCTGGTCTGAGAAAGGACTGACGCCTGTCAAAGAGCACTGAGGCCTGCTGAGAAGTGACTTCCCACATCGCCTGAGCCACTCTGAATAACAAGAGTCAAACAAAGACAAGCCTAAGACAAGCAAATGGCCAATAGCCTTACAGTTAACCACTGGGGAATTTAAATATCAGGGAAATACAATCATCTCACCCTATTTGTCAGGACAGTGGGTGGTGGGTGGTGGGTGTGTGCGTGTGTGCGTACATAAAAGGAGGTAAAGGAGGATTGGTGAAGATGTGAAGAAACCGGAATGCTTTGTGTCACTGATGGGAATGATGGTGCAGTTATTCATCATGAAAACAGTGCAGAATTTCCCCACAAACTTAAAAAAAAAAAAAAAAAAATGTGACTTGGAGTAGTTCTCCAAGAGATATGAGAATCTCAAAGTCATCTGTACTCTCGTGTTCATGATATCTGAGATACTCTCTACAACCACTGACAAATGGATTTGGACAGTGTTGTCCTTTCAATGGAAAAAAACATTATGTAACATCCAACAGCCTGGGTGAAGCTAGAAGAGAGACGTCATGGGAATTAAGGCAGCCATAGAAAGAGAAATGCTGTGTGATTCTACCTACATGAAGAATCTAAAACAGGCAAATTAAAGAGGGAAGAGTGATTTAAAAAAAAAAAAAAGGGGGACTGGGGAGTGGAGAATTAGCCACAATGGATAAAACCTCTCCCTCAAGCCAGTGACTAAACATTTTCACCCTGTTGGTCATCCTAAGCTGATGCTCAACTTGTTCTGTGTGGCGAGAACAGCTGCCATGAATTATTCATTTGCTGTTGTTGTTTGTTTCAAGTGAGGTTTTAGTTCTTGTTATCAAGGGGATTCTTATTGTTTGGAGATTAGATTTTTTTTTCCCTCCCCCCCCCTTTAGTTTTTTGTTTGTTTTGGTGGAGGGGTCTGTTATATTTTTGTTTTTGTTTTTGAGACAGGTCTTCCTATTAATCTAGTTTGTTTTTTAACTCAACATTTAGCTGAAGCTGACCGTGAACTCTGCCTCCTGCCTCACTCTCCTGAGTTTATAGGCATAAGCCACCATGCCTACTTCCTAAACTCCTATTCTTGATACCAGACAGACTGATGATATAAGGCATATTTTAGATCTTAATCAGATCCCCTGAGCAACATCGTAGAAGCTGGGGAGCCCACACTAGCATTGTTCCTTCATGCTGTGAAAACATCTCTTCTCCACCCTCATTAATCAGACTCTGTTGACCTATTGGCTTTTCAGGTGGCAAATGCAAACAACATCTCATTTTGCTTTGTGCCTCAGCAGGCAAATTCTCATCAGCCAGCCTTGCTCACAAAAGGGCTGGAAGAAGGCACGATACACATCTGAAATCCCACCATCATTCCTTTTTTAAATGCATTGAACGTTTCTGTCCCTCCTCACTCCACCACCATCCCCCCAAATAAGCGGGGTATCTTTTTCAGACAGACTCAGCTGAGAATCAAAAGCAGACTAAAGCATCTCCATGGCACTGCTTTGCTCTGGCAGAAAAATCTCTCAGCTACAGAAGGGAAAGCCTGCGTCCCAGCTAAAGACCTCTTTGTCATGAACGGACATCAAATTTCCCCCAAGACAGTCCTTGGCAGGAGACTGTTCAAGGTGATGCTAACAGATTTGACATCAAAGAGAAGATGTCCCTGCCTCAGAGTCACGCAGCACTCAGAAGCAGTCCAGACTTCATGTCACCCGATGTCTCCCTACTACGAAACCCTGCCAGTAACACCATGGCTTCCCAGACACCAACATGTGAAAGTTGGGTCTAAGCACACATCCAGACATCCAGAGAACCACCAGGTGCCTCTCTGAGATGGACGGTCTCTACCACGGCCATTTCACCCCCATGTTCAGGTTAGGGAAGCACAGATTTGGGACTGTGTTCCCGGGACATGTTCCCATGTATTCATCCCTTAATTTACGAGGCCTACCTCGGACAAAATAAGACTAGATTTCTGCTCCTCGTATCCATAGAAACAGTTTAGCAGATAGCGCCAGTACTTCCCCCGGACAACACCAGCCTGAGAACTTTGGCCAGGCCTCTTACCATTGCACAGTAGTCATAGATTTGTGGAATGTGAACTTAGATGGGAAAAAGGCAGGGTTATTTTTTAACTTAACATATAATATTTTTATTAAGAGTTTGCTTTCGTGAAACTATTTTGCAAAACAACTTCTTGTATAATATCTGGGGTAAAACTTTGGGATAGAACGCTCTGGGGTGAGTTGCTTTGCTTCAAGTTTCTAAAGTACGTCCTTTCCCTGGAATTCCTTGTCAGTGGGTATTTTGGCAAAGTTGCAGTCAGGTGTTCTAACAAACCACAGAAAAGTCGTTACTTGTATCTCCTCTACCTGCTGACTAAAATTTAGAATTTCTTCAAATATAAACACAGTTAAAACATGGTAAAAATCAGTTCCACTGCGGCATCATGAGTGACATCCAGAAACGTGCTCAAATGATATTACAGTTGTTGCTGTGATCACAAAGAGTTGTTTATACTTCCAATAAAATTATAGCAATTTCAGGAACTTTGCTAGATGTTTGTCATCTGATGCACTAATAAGGAAGCCCAAGTTTCTATATCAAAAATTTGATTTTTAAGTATGTTATACATTTTAATGTAATTGCCTCCACTTATAATCCTTTGCCTTTTATGCTAAGAATTTCAAACGTTATTTCTGATCGAAGGTTCACCAGGTTGTTCCCAGGGTTTATAGCACAGGAAAGTGAGGGTCTCATGGCTCCGTTCCTAACTCTATGATTTGTCTATCTGCAGACATTTGCATACAGTGTTCCTTTTTCCTCCAACATTCTTCTTCCTACCTGACCAAACCTCTGTCTGGTTCAGCCATCACTTTCTCAGGAAAGTCACAATATCATAGTCTTGGTATGCTCACTCCTATAGGAGCCCGAGAATCTAGTGCAGTCATACTGACATGGCAATCAAATTGTCACGTATACTATATGTCTCCAGGAATCAAGGTCCCTGTCAATGTTATTCAGCCTCGTCCAGGATCCAGTATGAAGCTGTCACACTCTATATATTTGTTACATTAATTAATGTATTTCTCTCTTTGCTTTTACACAACTATCACACACACACACACACACACACACACACACACACGCACGCACACACACCCTTCTGCTTTAGCTCCATACTGACCTGAATTTCTGGTTTCCCATCCACATACACAGTGCTATTGTTGACCATTTCCACAATGGCCACTCCAAGGTTGCACCGAATCCCAAAGGAAATGCAGAATCCCAGCCCACTCATGATAGCGATGATATACCGCTTGGGGATGCCACAGCAGCTGCAGTCACAGACTGGGAGATGTGTCCTGGGTGCTTGCACGGGCCTTCCTTCTTCATTCAGCTCAATGTTATCTTCCTCTTCATTGGTCCCATCGATTTTTCTGCATCATAAACAGAACAGACAGAGAATAAAAGCAAGTATTCAAGGTGAGGGAAAATGCACGAAGTAAAAATAAAAACGACACAAGAAACAAAAAGAAGAAAACCCACACAAGGACACAGCTTGCATTTTAAAAGTTATTATTTATCATTATTATTAAAGGAGAGGATGGTGGCTAAAATGATTAATGTTCTGGATATTGTGTTGGGCTTTCATGACACCAAATTATTCAGACCTGCTGGGGTTGGCGGTGTACACCTGTTGTCCCATCAAGGGGCGGCGGGGACAGGAAGGTCTCAAGTGCAAGCCTGGGGGACACATCAAACCTGATTGCAGCCTGGACTGCAGAGTGAGCCCTTACAGAAAAAAGAAAACATGCCTTTTAAATGTCATACAAACACAATGACGTGTGGTAGCCTGGGTCTACATAGTGAGTTCCTTGACAGCAAGGACTACATAGTGGAACCTTGTGTCTCAGAAATAAAATAAATTGCTGGGGTTTTGCTGTGTTTTGTTGTTGGTTTGGCTTGGTGGTTGTGTATAGGCAAGCCCAAAGAGGAAGGCTGACAGAGAAGCCACGCTTCAGATAATCAGACAGCCTGTGATGACGGCAGGCACCTTGGCCGTTATGAGTCTCCATTTCTTCACCAAACAATAACCACAGTATGTTACAGAGCTGTTAAGATTTTACGCTATGAAGAACAAGACATTACAGCCAGTGAAGTAGTGAACTTTGACTAAATGATAGGCTCTATCTATGCCGTCCTTGATGTTTTCATGTGTTGCTTGGCTTCTGTTTCTTTTGTTCTGGGCTAAGCACAGTGCTATTTTATATGCCTCTGTCTGCATGCTTATCACGAGTTCGAGAATTTCTGCTTTCTTTAGTGTAGGGTGTGGAGAGTAAACATTCCACACTGTGTATGTGTGCATGAACAAATGAAGACCTACCCACCTGGTGGCTGTGAACATGCAGAGGGCAGGAGCCACGTCCTTGTCCTTATCACCAGCACTCACCACTTTTCCTGAAGACAATGAATCCTCATTCAACCAAGTGGAATTGGGGGTTAGCTCATTCCATCCTTCCAGACTTACAGCCCTTAGAGATGGGGTGAGAATCTATTCATCCCTGTCCCCAAAACAATCTCTATAGAAATGATGAGGGGTACATTTGGTCAAGATAAAGGAAAAAAGAATTCCTTTCTTAAGAAATAGAGGCCGTTAATTATCTGTAATAGCTGTTTATACCCCTCTGGTTTCTCTCCGTGTTTGCCTATGGGTCTTCTTTCAGATTAGAGAATCTTCATTCTTCCTAGGACGACAGCCAGCATCGTTGTTTCTCCAAATATAGAAATCTGCAGACTGGGCTGGGGCCCTTTCCACACTAGCGAGGTTCCTTCCATTGTTCTCATGTACGATTGTCTAGTAAGCATCTAAGCCCTGGAATCCAATTGCTCAAGACACTCTGGACAGCCTTCGGGCATTTTCAGAGCAGTTAACTTGTCAGTGAATCCAAAAGTTCTATAGAGTATGGAGAAGGCTTTTCACTTGGGAGGAAATAGCTCAATATCAATCACACACAGTGAGTAGAACACACAGATCATTCAATGGGTGTTTAAATTCCACTCGCTTGCTGGCTTGGGCAAGTATTTATGGTGAGATGCCAAGTAAAATGACGGTAAGTTCTCTTAAGACTGTGTTGTGGACTAAAGGAGTGTATATATATATATATATATATATATATATATATATATATATATACACACAGAGAGAGAGAGAGAGAGAGAGAGAGAGAGAGAAGGAGCCATTGCCCATTGCTCTGTGGTCACCAACAGACGACTTTGAAGCAAACCATAATTGGTACTAACAGACAAGAAGAGAGAGTAATGATGTTCCTTCTAGAACAGTCTAGAGGCATCATATACTATGTTGCACACTGCTTTTCTTCTGCGGGGAGAGCACCCAGGCTTGGCCCTGCTTTCCTGACTTCCAGCACACTTTATCAATGTTGATTGCAACCAAGCCCTTTGCGTGATGGAATGTGCTGCTGGATGGCAGTGGAGACTGCATCCATGTGTTAATACGTTAAGTATGTCACATGGCCTTCTGGGGGTTCTTTATGTATTACACTTAAAAGAAGCATTTAAAGGGTTTAGCTATTATACATATATAGTGAAGAATTTGGAAAATATAAAAAAGAATCTTGGGACCAGAGAATAAAGCCAAGGATGGTGTCCTACGCCCTTAATAAGAAGCTATGCAAAAGACACACGAGAGGACAGAGCCCAAGAGCTTAGTTAGGACTTGGCAATAACACAGGAAGTTCTGGTGGGGATGGTGTGCAGGGCCTGTCATATGAGCCTACTACCCCAGCTACTCAGTCAGCCTGGGCCGTCGACCTTGCTTCTGAAGCAGAGTAGCAACAAACTTCCAGGGTTGGTGCATAGACCTAGAGGAGAGCACGTTTCCCAGGAGCAGGCCCTGGCTTCATTTGCTAGGAAGAGGAGGAGGAGGGGGGAGAGAAAAGATGGAAAGAACAGGGAGGGAAAGGGGAGGAGGGTGGCTAGAGGAGAAGGAAGGAGAGAACATAGGTGGAGAGGAAGGAAGGGGAAGAGAAAGGGAAGAAGGAGGAAAGGGGATGGGAGGGAGGAAGGAGGAAAAGAAAGGAGGAGGAAAGACAGGAGAAGAAATAAGAGGAGGAAGGGAGAGCAGGGAGAAGAGGGAATCTATTTCCTGGCTACGATTAGAAAAGAGGCCTGGGGGTTCAAACCTCAAAGGTTCACATCTGGACCCTGCCCTCTTGCAAACAAATCTAACGGTGAGATCGTAAGGAATTGTATGGTGATTTATATAGTCAGGGACCTTCAGGGAATTTCTGTAGACTATTGCACTGGTCTATTACAACCTACAGATAACATGGTTTTTAGAGCTCATTAGCAAAAAATTGACAATTACTCTGGGTGCCTCATAAAATACATGTCCTTCTGAGTATGACAAATAAATGCTTCAAAGATTTATAGGTGTATGCACACACACACACACACACAGGCATTCTGGAGCATTCCAAGTTAAAAACAAATCTACTTCAGTTTGTACTTTCTGCTATTTGAGGACACACAAAGCCTTGAGGCCCTCTCTGAGCTTTGGAGATACTGTGTTCCACACTAGAGAATACTGTTCTGACATACTTAGTGCATGATACAACCCATACACTGACAACTTAGTTTAAATGAGACCAAAAGGCCCAGAACTTACATAGGATGCACTAAGAGCCATATCACCGCCACAGCCTCCTCATCCAACACACCTAGAGCACTATTTGAGGGAAAGTATTAATGAGCTTTCTAACAAAATCTCAAAGGAAGGCAGTCTAGCTCCTGGCATGCAACTGAGCTGAGGAAAGATGGAACACCTCAACACAGAGTATCCAGAGACCACGCAGCCAAAACTCCTTCTCGTGAGCTTGCACAATCAAAACTATGAAAATGTAATGTGTGGGCCTGGAGAGATGGTGTGGTAGTTCGATGGGAAAGGCTCAGATATTTGCATGCTTAGGCCCCAGTTGATGAACTGTTTGGGAAGGGTTAGTGGGTGTGGCCTTGTCGAGGAGGTGTGGCCTTGTCACTGGTTTTGAGGTTTCAAAAGCCCACACCAGGCCTAGTCTCTGTCTCTCTCCCTACCTGCTGCCTGTGGATCAGGACGTAAAGCTCTCAGCCACTGCTCCAGCACCATCCCTGTCTACACCCCACTCCCTGGAACTGTAGGGAGCCCCCAATTAAATGTTTTCTTTTTTAAGAATTGCCTTGGTTCTTGGTTATGATGTCTCTTCACAGCAATAGAACAGCAACTAAGACAGATGAAGGAAATGCCTAAGTCTGTGGGAAGGGATGAGCGGTGTATCCCACTCACCATCACTCGTCCAGCACACTGGAGGTCTTCCGATTCCAGCTCACAGCTCCACAGGTCCTGGTTCACCAGGAAGAACTCTCCCATTTGGAACTCAGTGGAATCCCTTCCTTTTTAAGTGTGTGTGTGTGTGTGCGCGCGCATGTGTGTGGTCTGTGTGTGTGGTCTGTGTGTGTGGTCTGTGTGTGTGTGGTCTGTGTGTGTGTGCGCGTGTGTGTGCGCATGTGTGTGTGTGCATGTGTGTGTGCGTGTGTGTGCTGATTTGTACATGGGTGCAGTGCATACAGAGACTACAGGAAGTGTTAATGATGCAGTTACAGGCAGATTCCATACAGCTGTGTGAGTGGCTACTGGGATCCTAACTCAGGGCCTCAGCAAAAGCAGTACCCACTCCCAACAGCTGGCCATCCCTCCGGCACCTTGGAATCACCTCTAGGCTAAGGTCACGTGTGAAGCACAAAGGACCTCCCATTAAGTAAAGGGCAGCAACTACTGCCTGGCCACTTCGAGGACCTCATCAAAGATGATAGAATAAGACCAAGGATCACCATAGTGACAAGCAGAGCAAATCCTGGTCCTCAGAAGAGATTGAGACTGTGGTCTTCATCATGAAAGAAGAAATAGGTGGCACCTGGTCACCCACTCCTGATGCTGGTTAGTCTGGTCTGAACTGCAAATGGACAGGTTCATTAACCACGACCAAGAAAGGAAATATTAACCTGACTTCAGATCCCTCGGGGTCCGCTTCCCAGAGGAAACAATGGAATGGAGGCATGAGGAGGAGAGGCCAGTCGCCACCGTCGGAGCACACTAGTTAGGTTTGCTGAAGGAGGCCTAGGCAGGAGAATCACGAGTTCAAAGCCAGCTTGGGAGCTATTTGCTCTGGAAACTTCTCTGGAGGAATCTCCATGCATGGGGGCATGGAGCAGACAAACCTGCATGCAGTGATCGTCTAAGAGAAGCAAACAGATCTGAGTCATGCAGGGCTGCGCTGTCCAGATGCTGCAGTGCACGTAGAGGACCACCAGGCCAGCACGTGCCCAGAGAAGTTGCATACCACCCTGCTGTCAGGGATGCTAAGAGATCAGAGCTCCTTCCTTCTATAACTGCCCACAGGGAAGTGACCTCCACCCCTGCTGACGCAGCCCACAGCCACTGACTGACTTATACAACGTGCACAAGCCTGGGCCCTTGGTGCTGGTTACATTCCCAAGCCTCCCACCCCTCACCCCCACCCTCCACCCTCTGCCTATTGCCCGAGACTCCAGCTTAGCTTGACCCTTTCTCCGTCCCTGCCCTGCCTTACCTCGTCCACCGCAAAGTGGGTGTGGGAAGGAGGGTGAGGTGGGATAGCTCTCCCTGGGAACAGCGTGAAGAAAAGCCAGGCCAGACGCGCCAGCGGCCTGGGTAGTACAGAGTAGACTGAGAAGACCATGGGGGACGGAGCGGAATTGGGTGGGGGGCATTGTGACCATTGGTGAAGTGTGATCTGACATGGCTTAATAGAATCACCTGGTGTAGCCTACGGTCATGCAGATAAAGGATGCCGCAACGTTTGGGACCCAGGCTCACTGGATCTAGAGTATTTTTAATACATAGTCTTTGTAAGTGCATGTGTAGCACATCTATTTATCACACAAATGCAACATTAGCATGTGTGAAGCCCCAGGTTCAATTCCCCAAATCCCCCATACACACACACACACACACACACACACACTCACACACATGCTCACACGTACACACTCATATATACACTCATACATTCACAGTCATACATACATTCACACGCATTCCCTCAAACCCACACCCTCGCACGCGTGCGCGCGCACACACACACACACACACACACACACACACACAGGGGTGATGTCACAGAAGCAGAGTGTAGACTAATGGTCATCAGAGGCTAGGAAGGGAAGAGAAAGGATGGAGCATGGGAGGACAGCAAAGGAGGTGTCCATAGTTGACAGTAACTTACAAACTACAAGTTCTCCTAATGCAAAGAACGCTGGATGCTTGAGATGGAAATGCTATTTGTCTTGATATGAAAATTACATTGTAAAATCATCATACTGTAGTCTGTAAATATGCACAATTATTATGTGTTAATTAAAAATAAGGTACCGGTGGTGGTGCATGCCTTTAATCCCAGCACTCAAGAGGCAGAGGCAGGCAGATCTCCGTGAGTTCAAGTCCAGCCTGGTCTACTGAGCAAGTTCCAGGACAGCTGTAATGGAACCCTGTCTCAAAAAACCCAAAAATAAAAATAAAAAATAAGGTGGCAAATGTAATTTGGTTCGAACTTATGGTTTGAAGCCCAAGCTGCACTACCTGTAAGCTGTGTGCCCTCAGGTAACTCACTCAACCTCTCTGTGCCTTGATTTCTTTATCTATAAAATTGAAATGGTATGAGATACACACACACACACACACACATACGCGCGTGTGTGTGTGTGTGTGTGTGTGTGTGTGTCCTGGAACTAGCTCTTGTAGACCAAGGTGGTCTGAAACTCACAGAAATCCACCTGCCTCTGCCTCTAGAGTGCTGGGATTAAAGGCTTGTGCCGCTGCCGCCGCCACCACCACCGGGCCAATTATTATATTTTTATAGATGAGCAACCATGGGATGCCTTCATTGTCACTGAAGCTGAACAAATTTGCTAATTTAGGGCCATGCATTCCAGGTTCAGTGCTTTCTGTTTTAACTCCACACTCCAAGGCATCTCTAAGAGCAGGCATCTCTGTTTCCCCCACACTTCTAAACGATCATTGTGCCTTCGGTTGCTGCTTCTCCTCCAGGATGGGCTAATGATGCCTGGCCGTAATCAACCCCATGTGAACTCTCAAAGGTTTCCCTGCCTGGCGACCACTCCCCTAACCATGATTTTAAAACATCTCAATAATTCCATTGGGATGGCATTCTCAGTCTTAAACATTGCAGCAAGACTGCCTGTAACTCCCTTCTCAATGCCCTTGCAAACAGAAAACCGTTCGCCCTTGGTTTTATTGTTAAGCTTGGGTGCTATCACCTGGTTTTCTGTGAAAAGCAACAAGCAGAAGAGGAAATGACCCCTGTATGCTGGACTCCTGGCAGGATACTTTCCATACAACCATCTTGTAGGCTTGTGGTAGAGCTGTTCTGGATAATTCTTACACAAAGATCGAGGGTCCGCTAGATTGCTGCTCAGGTATTGTCTTTCCTTCCTTTCCCTGTCGGCAATGCCCACCTAAGCTCCACCAGTGAACACACTGGATCTTGGATTTGGTTTGTTTATTCTAAAATCATCCCATATGATGTCAGCAATGACACTGTCCGGCATTTTTTAGTGTACTACCCTAACAATACACGAGCTGTTCTATGGTACAAGTACCCAGACCAGCAGTTCTCAACCTGTGGGTCGTGACCCCTTTGGGGGTGGCGCATCGGATATTTACATTGTGACTCATAATGGTAACAAAATTACAGTTATGAAATAGCAATGAAATAATGTTATGGCTGGGGTCACCGCCACATGAGGAACTGTATTAAAGGGCTGCAGCAGCAGGAAGGCTGAGGACCACTGTTCCAGGCGCTGGTCTGAGAGCCTTAGATTCACATCTGCATTTCAAGTTAAGGCTGTGTAACTTGGAAGTTACCGACTCAGTTATGAACCTGAGCCAGCTGACTTGGTACACAAAGTTCTCTCCGTGTGCATCATCCAGCCAAAGTGACGAAACGGTTCTTAGGATAGACATTTTCTACTTTAAAAAAAAAAAAAAGAAAGATAATTTTTCAAATAAAAAGCAATCCGTGGAAAGTTGCTTAAGATTAAATATGGTTATAATAAGATGGGAAACAAGCACCCTTTCTTCGTTTTGATGAAATCCAATGTATAATAATTGAAGACAAAATCTGGCTATATGTCATTCATGGAAAGAATGGGAATCGTGGGAGGAATGGGTTGATAAGAGCTTAAATGAGGCTCAAAGTTACCGTTTCTGATAAATAAATCCTTTTTGTCATGTCTTCACAAACTCAATAGAGGGTGTGGCTACAGTGGAGACCCTGGTGCAAAGCCAGGGTTTTCGTTCCCGACACGGCCAGACTTCTTTGCTATCCCTTGAATAAGCCCATTGCACTGTGTGCTTTCTTTTCACTGTTATAATCAAGAGAGAGCCACCACAATAAGATGCTACCTGGAGAGAGACCATGCAGAGGGATGAAACACTCATTTTAAAAAACATTATAATCATTGTCTATATTTGGCTCATGTGTTATCACTGAGATGAGTTTTCATCAGCTCATGCTGTTCCGGTATGTCAGAGGGAAGCCTTTCTGTTTTTAATTACTAAAGTAAGAAGCTTGCTGTCCCCATCCCCTTCTGGGATGAACCCTGATGTGGAGTGACACAGTTAGAAACTCAGCACCAAGAGGAACATAAAATATGAGCGATGGGAAGAGTCTCAGACATCGTCTAGACTACCAAGAAGTGGCCTTTATAAGCACCAAAGCTTTGACATGTGTGTTAAAAGAAGAAGCCAAATCACGTTTTCCACACTAGGATTAGAAATAATCATTCAAGCACACAAAAAAGTATATCGAGGATATTACTCACAGTTCCATATCGAGTAATAAAATAACCATGTCACTATGCACATAAGGGCTACTGATTAATTCATCCACAAAACCTGAGAAGACATTTACTATTGTCTAAAAAATGAACAAATTAAAATGTGACACCAGTTCATTCATACATGGCAAACTCCCCTGCTATTAGGAATATATTTTACATTAAAATATTTATTTTGGACATGGACTAAAATCTCCTGAATTCACTGACAGCCTTTGGATTTTCCTGCTGCTCCTATATACAATTTAATGTCTAATGTTTTAAGGTACCGTGTTCAAACTACCTTGCAAACACCCTGCTTTTTGAGAATGACCTCATGAAGAGCCTTGTGTATTGTGTATTTTGTGTTTAAAGCTAGAAGAAAAAGGCACTGAAAATATTTAACTATCATAGTGAGTATCTCAAGTTACTTCAGCTCAAAGCACAACTCTATCACTGCTACTGAACTGACATGACATACTGCCTGCAAAATTTCTTTCTGATTCGACGATAAGCATGGCATGTGTAACACAATCACCAGCATGAGTTCTAGTCTTTTCAGATAAACAGAGTGCTTGTCTTGGTATTTTCCCAATATGAGCTAACACTCCCACCCTCATTCTGGTGTTCCCGAGGATTGAACCCCGGACTTGTGCATGCTAAGCAAGACCCAGGACTTTGCGATGCATCTCTTTTTTCTGTCTCCAGGCATAACCTTGGCTCCAGAAGAAAGTCCAGAAACCGTTTAACCTGACCCACCCCTTTCCCATTCAAATACACTTTATAAACATGATTCAAAATACCCCAGACATTGGCAATAGGAGAGTACTCAGAAACAACCCTGGCTTGAGCTCAGAGTTTACCTTTGGAAGGTCCCCAGCGACTCTCCCACGGTATTCTTCACTCCTTCCTTCCCCGGTTTCAGAATTTTCTCTTTGAAGGTATCAAACGCTTTAAACGGCATTTTGAATGGAGTGGGGGACCTCGGAGCCCTTAGCAGACAGCCTCAGGAGCTGTCGTCCTGGCTCATTTCCAGCTCAGGGGCACTGTGCTTGCCCTTGAGGAGCACTCGAATTTCAGTTCTCATGGAGGGAAACTACTCAAAATCAAGAAGAAGGTAAACCCAGCCCAGGTGTTCCAACAAGAGGAAGCCCTCTCTTCTTGCTCCAGAATAAACAAGACTGGGGGTGGGCGGCGGGGGGGCGGGAGGGGCCTGCTGGTCAGGAATCCAGCCAGCCCCTTGCAACAGCTCCAGGCTGAACAGCAAGCAGCCGCTGTCTCAAACAGGCACGCTCAGACTGAGCTCAGCCTGTCTCTCTGGCTGCTGCTGGAGAAGCTAAAGTGTGTTCCAGTGCACGAGGGGACCTGAGACCAGCAGCAGCAGCCGCAGCATCCAGCATCGGATGCCAGCTCCAGCCCCTCCTGCATTCCTCAGCTTGCTGTGGTGGTGCTGTCAAGCTCCTTCCTGGGGGTGATGCTATAGAAACCAGCACAGCACCTGCCCCTCTGCAGCCTGGACCTATTAATGGGCTCTCCGCCAGGCCAGGGCAGGAGCCCGGAGCGAAGTGTATGAAACATTTACAAGCCCTCTCCTTTTTTGAGTTCCAGCCCCACACGCACGCTCCCGGCCACCACTTCATGCCTTTATTCCCTTCAGGGTAGCGGAGAGGCAGTTTTTCAGCTGGGTACAAGCATGGTTACGTTGTTCAAGGAACAGCTGCCCTTCAGGCTGAATGCGCACCCCAAGGGAACATGAAGGAGGGAGGGCGCACAGGCGCCTTTAGGGCTAAGCGAGGACCCCTGAGCTTGTCCTAACTGCCTGCTCTGAGCTCCTGGATGATTGTCTCAAGATAAGTAAAAGCTTCACCCTGGCACCTGAAACTTCTCTGGAGACCCTGCCCCTTGCTTCCTTTCCCTCCGTTCTCCATAGCAATACTAGCTTCAACTCAGCAAGCTCCCTGTTGCTTCTGGGGAGTTCTTCAAATGATAGCCCTTGCCTGGGTAACCTTCCTTGCAGCTTCAGGAGATCCCTGTCTCATGAAGGCAGCATTTCAATGCCTCATAGATGGGGACAGCTGGCCTTTTCCGTGCCACCAAATTGCCTGGCCCGGAAAGACTGTGACCTAACCCACCTGCTGAACCCTTGTGGAAACAGCCAGTTGCTTCCATGTTACAGGCTTCAGGGTGACGCCTCCATTACTAACGGTGTCATGAGACAATAGCCTTGTCTTGGACGCACTGATGCTCCAAGCCAAAGACTGCTGTGAAACGCCATGTGGGTATATAGACCCCCCCCCCAGGATCCCAGGAACTGTTTCCACAAGGCTGGACATGTTCTCTACACACGGCAGTCCAAGACTTCTCCAGATCTGAACTGAGTTAAATTAGCACTGGGTGTTAATAGCGCCTACCAAGGTCTGCCTGTAGCCAAAGCTGCACCACGCACTCGATCCATACACCATAGCGATTGTCCTGCTGTGGCTTTATGTTTAGAGAAGGCTTATTTTTCCCAAATTTTAGTGACTGGAAACTGAGGCAAGAAGTTAGCTGTGTCTGAGATCACACAGCTAAGTATTAGCATATCCAAACAGCCTTGTCGATTTCTTCCAAAGTGGACAGTACAATGACTTTTTGTAATGTTCACCAATTTATACAATCATCTCCATGAAGCCTCATACTCACCGTTAATCTCCGTTCACACCTCCCCTTCTGGCCCTTGGCAGCCATACATGTACATGTTTCCACAGATTTGCCTTTTCTGACCATTTCCTCTCAATAGAATCATGTGTGATTTGATCTCTTGTGGCTGGCTTCTTTCAGAATGGGAGATGTCCAGCTCACCGCAGTTCCTTTTTGCTGTTGCTAACATTTCATTATGTGGACACACTGCCTGTGCCCATCTATTGATTTCTTGATGGGCATTTCACTATTCTTCTTTTGATTGTTGTGAATAAAACTACTATGAACATTTGTGTACGACTTTCTGTTTTTATTTCTCTGGGGTAAATGCTTAAGATTCCAAGGCGACATGAAATGTATATTTCACTTTTTAAGGAATTGCCCAGTTGTTTTTAAAGTGGCTGCAGTATCTGACGGTCCCTTAGACATCCAGGGTTCTCCTCCCTCCATCTCCATGCCAAGGTCTGCTGTCTTCTTTCCGTGTAGCTGTGTGGTGGGTACAGCAGCATCCCTTTAACTGCCTTTCCCTTCTGTGTGACTGCTGACGCTGCCATCTCTCCACATGCTTAGGAGCCATCAGCATTGTTTTGTATGGGTGGGCAGGGCAGGGTGTGAAATTTCCGTTTGGACACTTTACATATTTTAAATGGGTTCTGCCTGCTGCTTAAGGATGCCATGGGTATGTGTTCTTTCAAAGAACTTGTTAGATATGAGTTCTGAAAATACTCCCTAGGCTTTGTCTTTACACTTTCTTCCTTCCATATGTTGAAGGGCAGACTTTGCGTATTTTGCTGAGGTAAAAATTTTTCCACTTTTTTTTTTTCTTTCTTTTATGAATTTGCTTAAGCTGTTCCGAGGCCTCGTGGATTTTCTCCTGTGTTTTATTCTAAGAGCTTTATTGTTTCCCCACTGAAGTTTAAGCCTGTTGAGTTTATCTTTATGCATGCTATAAGACAAACATTCAAATTCATCATGTGAAGACCCCATTGCTTCAGCATCATTTGTTAGAAATGCTATCCTTTCTTTTTTAATGCATGTGTGTGTGTGCATGCATGTGAACATGTGTGTGTGTGTGTGTGTGTGCTAGATGACAGCTTCCTGTCATCCTCAGGGTACCCTCCACCTCCTCTGAGGCAGGGTTTCTCACTGACTGGAAGCTCACCTAATAGGCTAGCCTGACCAGCCAGCCAGCCAGCCCTCCTGGCTCACCTCCTCGCTGGGATTACAAGTGCATCACACCAGGCTGGGTATTTGTGTATAGTTTCAAAGCCTGAATTCAGGTTTTCATGCTTAAAAACAAATATTTGTGGCCGAGCCATCCCCTCAGCCCAGAAATGCTGCCTTTCTCCCAGTGGATTGCATTGGCTCTTTTATTTTAAATATCAATTGAACAAAACTGTGAAGATCTATGGACTCTGATTTTTGTTCCACCGATCTGTATATTTAATATATCAATATCACACTGTCTTGAGGGTAACCTTATAACTTTTGGATTAAAAAAAAGTTCTCCAATTTTTCTCTTTTAAAAAGTTCCTTTGCTTTTATTCTACTTTGCATATGAGCTTTAGGAACAGCTTTACAGTACACACACACACACACACACACACACACACACACACACACCTGTTTAGCCCTGTACACTTTTTTTTTTTTTTTTTTTTTTTTTGGTTTTTCGAGACAGGGTTTCTCTGTGGCTTTGGAGGCTGTCCTGGAACTCACTCTGTAAACCTCGAACTCACAGAGATCCGCCTGCCTCTGCCTCCTGAGTTCTGGGACTAAAGGCGTGCGCCACCAACGCCCCTAGCCCTGTGCTCTTGAAGGGATATTTTCTGCTCACCAACATTGCCAATACAACCCTGCACCACACAGAACCCTAAGGCCCCAGGAACCCATATGTCTACTCCTTCTCCCATCAAGCCCCTCAAAGATCACTAATTTGTTCAAAGCAAGTGAAGCCAATACTATATGATAAAGCAGCCTATTCCACAGAGAGCATCCCCTAACAGAGCTCCAACTCCCAAATAGTTTTAGGCTACTCATATCTTACACTGTGTCCTGGGAGCAGAGCTCAGCAAAGACCACATGGGTCTCTTCAGGTCGGCAGCTGCTGGGAGCACCAGCCAGTCCTGCAGGAAACAAGGGGCATGAGTCTGTTGTTGCTGCGGATGGTTGGTGATAATAATCACCATTACCTGGGAACATTTTCCAGGTGCCAGACTTCAAGCATTTACTATTGACTGGTTCACTGAATCGCCACCGCTATCATTGAGAAAATTGAAGCACAGAGAGGTAAATAAACTTGTAGAAGCTCACACAGCTAAGAAGCTCACCTGATGGCATTAGGAGTCTTTAGAACTTGTCTCTTAACTCTGCACTAGAGCTGTTGTTAGATGTGCAGCCAGTGGTTATAGCTTGGATCTGGAGTGCCCACAAAAACAAAAAACAATTGTAGTTAATTATAACCTCAAGAATAAAGCTATTTAAAATAGACCTAATTAAAATAGAGCACTAAATGATGTTGACATAATTTGCAAAACTTTATCAGGCTTTGTAACTTTATAAGTACTACAGGAAAATATTTCTCTTACAAACTTCTGCATCATTAACATTTATTACAAAAAAATGTAGAAAAACATAGTCTGTATATGGCTATGACTATGGATGTTAAAGTTCAGCTTGAAGGAAAATACAATTCATATGAATTTTGTTGTTGCTGTTGTTGGTTTTAGTTTTTGAAGCAGGGTCTCACTATGTAGATCAGGTTGATCCCAAACTCACAGCAATCAACCTGCTTCTGTCTCCCAAATGCTGGGACTAAAGGCGTGTGCCACCACCACCTGGAGATGTATGGAATTTTAAAAGTTATATTGGAAGTCAGTGAGCCATGAGCTTTCTTCTTGCTATAATTCAACTACTTAAAGAGTTGTACCTTTACTTTGGGGGCACATCCCCCATGGAGGGATACTCCCTTAACCTAGAGACAGGAGAGAAGGCCTAGTCCCTACTCCAGATGACTTGACAGATTTAGATGACCCCTCCTGAAGGGCATCACCCTACGTGTAGAGTGGGGGGTGGGTGGGAGGGGATGGTGGTTGGGGGGCATGAGAGGGTGGGAGAGAGGGAAAGAGGGAGGGAGAGGGAACTGGGATCGATATGTAAAATAAAATTTTAATATAATAAATATTTATATATTTAATTTAATAAATATTTATTATATTAATTTAATAAAAAATATATATGTAAGTTGTACCTTTGTTCTGCCACTTTCCATTCATGGTGACACACAGGAAACTTAATTTTTTAACCAATGAGCTTTCAAAACTGTTTGTGTGCTTTCTAAATCATATATTTATATTATTGATTCCACTTCTTATTTT